AGCAGTCAAATGATGGCAGATTCCTCTGTGCGTTTTACAGCTGGAAAGAGGATTCTTGCACTTTCTCCTTTCCTGAACATTTACACTGGAGAAGCCATAATTTGGCCTATAATTTTAAAAGATACAAACGTAAGAATATTGCCCATCATTTCCTAAAAAGGATGGTTCAATTTAATTTAAAAGCTCAAACAAGTTCAAAACCAAGGTGTGGCTGAATGATCCTGTACAAAAAGACTCTGAAGAAACTTAACCAAATTATAAATTTACACATGAAAGTAAACTTTACTATATACTCAAAAGTTTTACCCTCCAGAATTCTCAAATCCTGTCCATGATCCAGTAGGTATCTGATATAAATAAATGTAAACACTTTTCTCTTTTTAAACCATCATTTAATCAATCATTTAAGATAGTATGGCCTAGTGGATAGAGTGCTGAACTGGGATTCAGGAGACCTAATTTCTATTCCCAGCTCTGCTATTGACCTGCTACGGTATGTCTACACTGCAGCAGATGTGGGCCTCCCATCCCATACACAGGCTGGCATGCTAAAAATAGCAGTGTGATGTTGCAGCTTGAGCTCTCTAATCTTGGGAATCAGGCGATGTCCACACTGCTATTTTTAGCATGATAGCTTGAGCCCTGCTAACAATAGATCAAGCCCTGCTAGCGTGAGTCTATCTACCCAAGCTGGGAGGATCGTTCCCAGCTACAGTGTAGACATAGCCCTGGTGACTTTGGACAAGTCATGTCACTGCTCTGTGCCTCAGTTTCCCCATCTGTAAACCTGGGATGACGACACTGGTCTCGTTTGTAAAGCATTTGGAGATCTATGAAAAGCACAACATCAAGCCACAAAACACACATGTCCAGAGTCACCAAATGACACACTATTTTTAATAATACCTAACTCTTGCAGGTCTGAAATTACAATAAAGAACTTTTAGATGAGAACAAGGGTAAGACTATGAACCTATATAACCACTGATGTGATTGTAACAGAAATGCTTTTCAAGGAACACAGGTTTTATCTCTATTTGTATAGTTTTTGAAATCCTTAAAAACAAGGGAGTAGATTCTGTACCTACACCTCTTGAGAAGGTGCAGCCAAGGTAGGGCAGGGTAAAGTACAATAATAAAAAGAATCCCCAACTGCCTCTCCAGAAAAGCTATCAAAATCCAAATAGAGGCAACAATTAATATATTTTCCACACATCAATCTTTACTTAAGTCTTGTATTTGTGAGTCACTGTCTGGTCAACTATTTATATCCAAACTACCTTGAGATAATGCCATTCTTTCTGGTACGTACAAATTAACATTGTGACCAGTGATTTCTGATACAATCACAGTTGAGGCCCTTACCTTAAGGCGATGCTTTGTGTAAATTTATCGTTTCCCTCTTGCATGAAGCACTGCATTTATGTAGTTTGCCCCCCGTATCCCGATTTGTATTAACGGGACTATGTTTTTCTGATGGATTGTGGTTTATTCTGGCAGCTTTCCTGCCAAGTAATTGACTCTCCGTTTCCGTGAGTTGTGATCTGTACACTTCCTAAATTGACACTATAGGCTTAAAGTACAGGCCAAGTATTCCAGTCTAACTGAGAGCAGAATTTGGCTAGAAAGCTTTCCAGCAAGAGGACAAAAGTTTGTTTGGTTAAAAAAAAAGAAAAAAAAAACACCCTTTCTATATTACAAATGAGGAAAATAAATGGTAATTTGATAATTTGGTGAAAAATAGTTCATTCCTTTATGATTACCTAAATTGCCTTGAGGTCATATCTCTCTCTTTTGAAAAATTACACTGAATTTTGTGGGTAACATATAAACTGATAACAGTGAAAAAAATCAAGTCAAATGATGCATTTAACTTCTGTTAATATATTAGCTTTCATTATGCCACCTTTTGTAATTTAAATCATCTTACACTGTAAACTATCATTATCAAAATGTCAAAAGAAAACTTATTGACTTTGTATTGATACAACAGCCAATATTAACATTACTTACTAAATTATTATTTTTGTCAGACTAAACAGAAAAAAATACATGGGAAAAACAGGCCCATAGTTCATAAATGACTCAAGCATTCCTCTGATGCATACATCTCCAAACTGTGCATCTGAACATAATGTAAGTCTCAAATATTGCGAGCAACTTCAAGCTGGTAGCATGTTTCCTGTGAGAATAGTTCCTCAAAAACGTATTTCAAACTATTTTGAGAAATGTTTTCCCTTGCGAGATTATTACTGTAGTCATGAAATTAAACGATTTAGAACTTTATGGTCACTTCCACTTCAATGATCAGAGAGAAACCAAGAACTGCGGGTCTTGCCAGCAAAGGCACAAAATGGGGAAAGACGTCAGTAGTCCCAATCTTCCTTGAAGAAGTGCCTTTGTGGACACTGTGGCTGAGATGTAGGCAGCTTAGACTGGGGGACTGGTTGCTTTTCCACCAGATTCTGCTGTCTCAGTCTAGGGAGTACAGCAATTTAATTGCTGTTGCATCACCCAGATGCTATGGAAATAAATACTTTATAAAATGAGTAAATTAATAAAAAGTCAGTTTCTTCACTGGACAAGCCACCATCACCAAACTTAAGATGTTACTGAATGACAGAAATTAGAGAAGGAAAAGTTCTACTGTATTAAGTTACCTAGTCCAGGGGTTCTCACACATTTGAATGTTGTGGACCACATCTGAATAAAGAAATTGTCTTGTGGACCATCTCCCCATCCTAATCTCCCTGTGGCAACTACATCAATTAATTTTGTGGGAAAAGTGATATCAGGAAAGGGTATGTGTATCTTTAGCTGTCCTTTCATCTTCAGTATCCAGTTATTGGCCCTAAACACTGGAATTCATTTCACATGTAAGACTCATCTGTTTTTTCATGCTTTCCTGAGTGGCAATGGTAGTTTATCCTCAGGAATACCAATGGGGATCTACTATGGCAACTGGTGTGATGGCTTTTATGGAAATCAAACAATGTATAGCAAATAGAACAATTTTTCTTATTTCATTTGGGAAATATAAGAGAAGGAGGAATGAAAAAAATGTGAGTGGCATCTGAAATTTTACAGTGTCGTCCTTTGAATTTAGATCCGATAGCCTTTTGTCGGATGTTCTCTTTGCTCATTTCATTGTAATATAGCAATGTTGAACCACTGTTGCATGGCTTCAATATGACCATTTTCAGGTGAGCAAAAATGAAAAAAATAAGGCTGTATTAAGGTCTCTTCCTTTAAAAAGAAGACTTCTGAAACTCGCTGGTCCTGGAAGTCACATGTACCATGTCTAAGGAATTTTGCTAATGACTTCATTCAATCGGAGGAGGATAGGAACCTAAATGATGAAGTTCCTTGGCTTTGTGGAATAGGTAACCAAAAAACCCCCCAAAACCCAACCCCACCACCACCAGTGCTATTTTTTTTTTGTTTAAGCAAGGCTTTATTTAGTTCTGGTGAGTCCACCCCCCAAGAGCCTTCTGTCTTTAGTTCTGATATTTCCTTAACTGTTCATTTCAAGTCCCCCCCCAAAGACATTTTTCACCTCTTAAAAGGCTACTTTGTTAAGATCTTGAAAAATGAGGTCACTACCAGTATCAGAAACATAAATTATGTCATAAACTGATGTTGCTCCACTGACATCAATGGACTGGTGCCTATGTACCGCAGCTGAGAATCTGGCCCTGAATTTGGAAATCTGAGCTATATACTATAACTACATATGCATTAGGCGATCTCTTATTCAGGTAAGCAGGACTTGGCAAAAACACATATTTGAGATAGTAGCTACTAACAAATCGAAGCACACATTTCTGAAGTTATAGCAGTGTGAAGATATATCATTTGTATCTCTCAACCAGCTGGAAGATCTCTGGCTTTGAAATAACAGTTGTTTTCTTTTTTTTAACTGTTTGACTTGTACCATCCCAGTGTGGCAGTCTAGCAAGCTAGAGTAGCTCACATTCTGCATTGGAAATCCTTGGTAGAATGTACAATTTCAAACCAGTATGTTTGCAAAAAGGCTTTCGGGACTGAGATAAGATTATGAACATTTATCTTTTCCTCATTGACTCTTCTCTCCCTTTCCCTAATCCTTTCCTTAGCTGGGCTGTACACTAAGCAGTTTCATGCTAAGGAATCCTACTCGCATCAGCTGCCACTACACAGCTGCTTCTGCTGTGTTGGGGCTCCAATTGTGCAGTATTTCATCTAAAATGGAACTAGGTGATAAAGGAGATTATATTAACACTAAAATTAGATCATCCTCATTTAGAGCACCCACCGAGAGAGAGAGAGAGAGAGAGAGAGAGAGAGAGAGAGAGAGAGAGAGACTATCAAAGGAAAAACACAGACAGCTGATCTGAGAAGATGACAATAGTGAATGGCTATTTGGGAGGCTGCTTAACTATGCTGCTCAATGATGGAATGTGTAATTGTTATAGTTGCACATAACAGTATTTAATTTTAGCTTTTTTTCCTTTAAAAAACCCTAGAAATTACAGTAAAAATCCAACTATGTTAAACAAATGTCATTTAAGTTGGCAAGTCAAGCACCTGAAAGTTAAGTGTCCATGCAGTCTCAATTCTGCCCTCTTGCATGTACAGTATGATACAGTCTGTATTGAGATGATCATATACTATTTTTTCTACAGCACTCCTATCTCATACAGTGCATAGTGGAACACACCTGGAGGTAGGATTAAGGTTGCATGGGCAATTGCAAATCTGGCATTTCATAACTTTCAAGTGCTTGACTTTGCAACCTAAATTTCTTTTAACATAGTTTCGCCCCACTCCTTATGTCATTAATTATTCTTAGCTGCACAGTATATAAAGGTAACATAACAGTGTGTTCAAATGAATAATAAATTGAAATAAAATTAGATTCTGGGATATGTTTTTCCATGTAGCAATACGTTAAAATGCAAAACTATCCATTTACCTGATATGTAAAGACAACTCACAATATAACTGGAATAAGGACCTACCGTTTTGCTGATGTAACTTGTGCTGATATTCATACATTGCAGCCCCTCACTATTGCAGCAACCTCCACATCTGTAGATGGATACACATGGGGGTTTAAAGAAGGTGTTTGTTGTTGCTCCAAACTCTTTCCCCACATCTACACACACCTCGCGTGGCATGCACTGAGTTTTCCTCCATTCATTATCAATACCTGCCAAGTTATAGGGAAGTTCATACGTTATAATGCAGCTAGTTAAAATAAGAACAACATTCCACCATATATTAACAGCAACTTGCTTATGTTTGGAATCAGACTAGCATGTGACTTTGTGTATTTAGATTCTTGATTCAATGAAATACACATTTCTTTAGAGAAACTGAATTCTCTCTGCAGTAACTTTCCAGAATCCCATGGCAGTGCTGCCAGGGAGCAGAGCCACAGTGGGGACAGAGCTGTAGTGGAACCACTGGGATCCTAGTAAACATATCCTTGGTAGATCTTAGGATATCTGAAGATTTCAGAGAGATTTCCATGTGCAGTTTCCTATCCCTATGTGGCAATATCTGCAGAGGAGAATCATCTGGCCCTGAGTAACAAACACTTCAGGATTTGGACCACACAGTATGTTAAAAAGCATGTTTGATTTGTGTCCTGTAATATTAAAGTGACAAATATTTAATTGGATGTTCATTTACTTTTGTAAACTACAGAGTGCTCTCTCTATGCTTTTCCAATGCAAAAAAAGAAAATTACAGGGCAATATTTTATACCTTCTTCCTTAAACTTAAATTCTAATTCGGCTAGGTCCTTAGACATTGATTGGATTTTCTGGCTGGGCATTTCTGCCAAATTGCAATTGTGCACAGCTGAGACCTCATCATTAAAAAGTGATGTAACTTGCCTCACAACAGCCCTGTTCCTGTCTTGGAGCCAGCTTCTGTTAGGTTGCTTTCTGTCTCAAAGAAGAACTAACATTACACCGGTTATCTAATCAATTCCTCCTCTAAAAATTCAATTCAAACCCACCTACCGTATTGTAAATTTTATTCTTCCTCTTATAAGTTCTACAACTTCCACCAAAAAAACTATAAAGTAGGGCTGTTGATAGGAGTTAACTCATGTGATTAAGTAAAAAATTAATCACATTTAAAAAAATTAATCATGATTAATCACAGTTTTAATTGCACTGTTAATCAACAGAATACCAACTGAAATTTATTAAATATTTTGGATGTTTTTCTACATTTTCATCTATGTTGTATTCTGTGTTGTATCTGAAATCAAAGTGTATATTATTTTTTATTATAAATATTTGCACTGTAAAAATGACAAAAGAAATAGTATTTTTCAATTCACCTCACACAAGTACTGTAGTGAAATCTTTGTTGTGAAAGTGCAACTTACAAATGTACATTTTTGTGTTACATAACTCCATTCAAAAATAAAAACAATGTAAAATTTTAGAGCCTGCCAGTCCATTCAGTCCTACTTCTTGTTCAGCCAATCGCTCAGACAAACAAGTTTGTTTACATTTACAGGAGATAATGCTGTCTGCTTCTTATTTACAATGTCACCTGAAAGTGAGAACAGGCATTTACATGGCACTTTTGTAGAATGGCACTTCTGCAAGTTATTTTATGCATCAGATATGCTAAACATTTGTATGCCCTTTCATGCTTCGGCCATCATTCCAGAGGACATGCTTCCATTCTGATGACGCTCATTAAAAAATTGAGTAAATTAAATTTGTGACTGAACTCCTTGGAGGGAGAATCGTATGTCCCCTGCTCTTTTTTACCCACATTCTGCCATATATTTCATGTTATAGCCGTCTTGGATGATGACCCAGTATGTTGTTCATTTTAAGAACACTTTCACTGCAGATTTGACAAAATGCAAAGTAGGTACCAATGTGACATTTCTAAAGATAGCTACAGCACTTGACCCAAGGTTTAAGAATCTGAGAGGGACACGTGTGGAGCATGTTTTCAGAAGTCTTAAAAGAGCAACACTCTGATGTGGAAACTACAGAACCTGAACCACCAAAAAAGAAAATCAACTTTCTGCAGGTGGCACCTGACTCAGATGATGAAATGAACATATGTCAGTCCGCTCTGCTTTTGATTGTTACTGAGCAGAACCAGTCATCAGCATGGACACATGTCCCCTGGAATGGTGGTTGAAGCATGAAGGGACATATGAATTTTTAGCGCATCTGGCATGTAAATATCTTGCATTCCGACTACAACAGTGCCATGAGAACACCTGTTCTCAATTTCAGGTGATATTGTAAATAAGAAGCGGGCAGCATTATCTCCTGCAAATGTAAACAAACTTGTTTGTCTTAGTGATTGGCTGAACAAGAAATAGGACTGAGTGGACTTGTAGGCGCTAAAATTTTACTTTGTTTTATTTTTGAATGCCGTTTTTGTACATCATTCTGTATTTGTAAGTTCAACTTTCATGATAAAGAGATTGAACTACAGTGCTTGTATTAGGTGAATTGAAAAATACTATTTCTTTTGTTTTTTTAAAGTGCAAATACTTGTAATCAAAATTAAATATAAACTGAGCACTATACACTTTGTATTGTTATTCTATTATGGTTTCACAGCGCGATTAATTTTTTTAATTGCTTGACAGCCCTACCATAAAGTAATTTATTTTCAGGCAGAATGATAAAAAAAAAGAATTCTGTTAATATCCATTAATGCTTCAACTGGTCTGTTGTAATGTTATAAACATACTTTACACAATCAAAATAAGCCACACCAAAGTGTGCATTACTTGGCTACTCCAAGTGGTTGAAGATCCTTTGCCATGAGCCTCCCAGTGCATCTGAGGCACACATCAATAGCTGAGTAATGCATACATTATTCTGGGTTATAGCTTAATTGAAGAAAATAAGGGGGGAAAAAGACAAATATTTGCTTTTTTCCCCCCAGTGGGGACATTCTTTGGGAGTCCCCTATTACTGCCTTCTTACTTCCTGCAAAGTCTTCAAAATCCCAGCATAGCAGAGATTCTTTCCAGCTGAGGACTTCTGGATTTAATTTCAGATATCTGCTGTAGTGTACTATCTGAAAATGGTGCTAACACCTCCTTCTGCATCAGTGTACACCTCATGCATCCCACTGAGTTCACAAAACGTATATCAGAAAAAAATAGCCATAAGGATTAGTTTCTTTCATTATGGAAGCGTCTAAAGGTTTGTGCCAGAGCTTGCCAGGGCTGAGCCCTGGCACCTGTAGGCTTGGCAGTTCATAGCCCTGGCACTTCTGGACTTGCCACGTCAGTTATGAAAATAAGAAAAATTGCTGAGCCCTGGCACCTTTTTCATTACAAATTAAGCACTGGTCTAAAGGTCCTAATTTATGCATTAATACAAATCAAAGGCCTTAGCCGTTTTTATTTTCAGTGCTTAGATTTTAAAATGTTTTTGACACAACTGACATTTCTTCAGATTTTGATTTACAGTATTTGATAAATTTTTTATTTCCTGAACTTACTTTTCAAGATCTCTGCATTATAATGTGCTGCTGCAAATTTTACTGAATCATCTGATCTTGGGTCGAAGCTGGAGTGTTCCCTGTTGTGTTGCCAGCCCCCTTTCCTCAACTGACATTTGAACATTTTCCAATACTCTGGGTAAAGTACTGTCATGAGTTCATCCACACTGGACACAGACCGCAACTGCTCTTCCAGCTCTTTGCTTGCATGAGCCTGTTAAAGAAACATGCAAGATTAATTACTTTCTGCATTGCACAAGTTTTGCTGTAAATTAGTTTGTTGAACAGCTAAGCTTTTCTAAAATCAAGTCTCCCCCTTAAGAATCCTCTTGCGAAAAAGTCTTCACTAGTGTTGTTCTGTAAAGTCTGATATTGCAATGCCTTTCTCTCATCACGAATTCTTACTCAAACATATTGTTAAAGATAAGTATTATTCATGTGAGAAAAGGGTTGCAGAAGTAAACCCTTGCATAATACAATTTGGAGGTTAAGGCAATGTATTACATTTTGTATTATGGATAACCGAATGATTTTTAAATAACATCTTTAATTTTTCAAACAGAATTAGACAGATTTTATTATTATATGTATATTACCTAGCATCATGTAACATTAAAAAGGATGAGAGCAAGTAAAATTTTGTATGTTTTCCCAAAATGTCATGAAAGCAAAAAATGATGAAAGTGCAAAAATGGGTGAAAATGAAATTAGATAATTTTTGAAAATTGGTTTTTATAATTTTGTACATCCTTAGGGACCGATCCTGCAGACACTTGCTATAGAGCATAGTGTTTACTATTGTGAATAGTTCAATTGAAGCCAATGAAACTATTAATAGTAGTAAACACTATATTTGGTAATAAGTTATTGTAGGATCAGCCCTATCTTGTAATTCTCTATTTGGTAAATATAAATTTTTCCCATTCCAAATATAAATGAGATATGAACATAGGTATCTTTAAAACAATCTTGTTTTGGGTCAATCATCAGTTTGCCACAAGCTCCATGTAGGGGCCAGTGTGATTTTCCATTGTCTCAAATGCAGTTTGTGAAAGAGATGAGGACTATTACATTCTGCCTTGTGATTCCCATCGTGTTGCAGGGGGAACATGCACCCCACCACCATACATCATGCAGAAAACGTACCTGGTCAACACTCCATCCATTCCCTGCCCACTCGTACTCACATGCACAATGATGGTGGAGAAAACCACACATAATGGTTCCCTGGAAATTGCCATCTCCCCAGATGCAGCTACCCACAGTATGGGTATCCAGTACAGGAGAGGGAGGGATGTCTTAACAACTCCTCACGCATGGGCATGCAGGAATGGCCACAGTGTGGCCCTTCAACAGCAATATTAGAGACAACATAAGCAGTGTTCATTAACTACTGCTTCTGTACATATAAATAAAAACACATACACTAACTATTGTCTTCTGCATCCCAGCAAGAAATGACCACATTAAAAAAATATTGGTGACAAAATAGGTAGTTTAAAAATAATATATCCCTATCAGAGTCTAACAATTTTAAACAGGCCAAATTTATTTTTTATCCTAACCTGCACAATTTTGACATGGATGCTTTTAGGTGTCTGTGACAAGTAGTATTAATTTTAGCAATGAATATGGCTTACATAAATTGGCTGCAAGATTTAGTCATGAATTAATTTCTTTATGTAAACAAACTAAAGACTATTACATAATACGAAATATTTTATTCCCTGCACAGTTCCAAAATATTGCTCTCAATGTTGCCAACTCTCGTGATTTTATTGTCAGTCTTGCAATATTTATTGCTTTACTTAAAACCCCAGGTCTTGGAGCTGACAAACTCATCTTCCATTACAAAACAAAACAAAACAAAACAGAACCTTCTAGCCTTCCAGGCAGCAGAGAAACCCCTGAAGTGAGCACACTCTAAGGGCTCAGAAATCAAGAAGTCAAATAAAAGAACCCTTTTTTAAATCTCATGATTTTTTTGGAGGCCTGACTCATGATTTTTGAATGTCCTGTACAATTACTAGCAGGAATAATATATATGATACAAAGATTTCATATATACTGAAAAACCCTTTGTCACTGAATGAATGAGAACATTAGTCTTATTTATTCTTCATTACAAGAGATACGAAGTATTCTCCCCCTTTCTTCCCTCCATCGGGGACCAGCTCTAATTGCTACGCATGCCACCAACCCCTAGAAGCAGCAGCAAAGCCTGAGTGCCCTTAAAGGGGCTGGGACCCAGCTCCTCCTATAATGTAGACATTCTGGACCTCGCAGGATCCTGGAGCCTGGGCTCCAGACTGAGCCCAAATGTTTACATAGCAATTAAATAGCCCCTTAGCACGAGCCCAAGAGAGCTGATGTGGGCCAGCCTTGGGTATCTGCAGTGTAGACATACCCAAAGTTACCTGAAATAAAATAGATGCTGTTCTGAAGGAATTAAAGTATGAAATTGTAGAACTACTAACAGTGAGTGATATGTAACCTGTCATTTAAATCAGCTTCTGTACCTGATGACTGGAGGATATCTGGATGATAGCCAGATCACTGGAAAATGTGACACCAATTTTTAAAGAAGGGTCCAGAGGCAATCCTAGCAACTAAAGGCCGGTAAGCCTAACTTCAGTACCAGGCAAATTGGTTGAAACGACAGTAAAGACCAGAATTAATAGACACATAGATTAACACAATTTGTTGGGGAAGAAAGAGTCAACAAGGCTTTTGTAAAGGGAAATCATGCCTCACAAATCCATTAGAATTCTTTGAGAGGGTCAACAAATATGTGGACAAGGGTGATCCAGTGGATATAGTGTACTTGGATTTCCCGAAAGCCTTTGAGAAGGTCCTTCACCAAAGGCTTTAAACCAAAGTAAGCAGTCATGGGATAAGAGGAGAGGCCCTCTCATAGATCATTTATTTTTATCCTTTTTTTCTGGTCTTTTAAAAAGTTTCTGGTCAGTTTGCAGAATGGACAGAGGTAAATAGTTGTTTCCTTCAGAGAGCTGTATTGGGAACAGTGCTATACAACATATTCATAAATGATCCAGAAAGAGGGATAAACAGTGAGATGGCAAAATTTGCAGACAATACAAAATAACTCAAGGTAATTTAATCCAAAGCAGACTGTGAAGAGTTACAAAGGGATCTCTCAAGGGCAACAAAAATGATTAAGGGTATGGAACAGCTCCGTATGAGGAGAGATTAAAAAGACTGGAACTTTTCAGCCTGGAAAAGAGACAACTAAGAAGGGATATGATAGAGGTCTATAAAATCATGAATGGTGTGGAGCAAGTGAATAAGGAAGTGTTATTCACTCCTTCACGATAACACCAGAACCAGGGGCCACTGAAATTAATAGGCAGTAAGTTTAAAACAAAAGGAAGTCCTTCATCACACAACACACAGTCAATCTGTGGAATTTGTAGCCAGGGGATGTTGTGAAGGCCAAAGCTATAGTGAGGTTAAAAAAAAGAATGAGATAAGTTCATGGACAACAGGTCCATCGATGGCTATTACCCAAGATAGTCAGGGATACAACCACATGTTCTGGGTATCTCTAGCCTCTGACTGTCAGAAACTGGCAGTGGACAACAGAGATGGATCACGCAATGATTGCTTGTTTTGTTCATTCCCGCTGAAGCACCTGGAATTGGCTCCTGTCAGAAGACAGGATACTGGGATGAGTAGACCGTTAGTCTGACCCAATATGGGCGTTATGATGTTCTCATGATCAATGCAAGATCCGTCACCTATAAACAATACACCAACAAAAAATCAGCAACGAAGTACCCAAGATCACCTGCATCCTGGAGACTTGGCTGGATTACACTACAAGCCCGGTGCTAGCCCGCCTCCTCCCCACTTCCTCCAACTTGGTCTATCATATACCAAGACGAGACAGGAGGCACTGCATTCATTTTCGCTTCAAACATCAAATTGTAAAAAGTTACCTCAGGTAGTAAAAGGTCTTCTAAATTCATTTTTCTAGCACAAGGGTGGGCAAACTTTTTGGCCTGAGTGCCACATTTGGTTGTGAAAATTGAATGGGCGCCATGAATGCTCATGAATCTTGGGGCTGGGATGCAGGAGAGGGTGAGGACTCTGGCTGGGGGTGCAGGGTCTGGCGTGGGGCTAGAAATGAGGAGTTCAGGGTGCAGGAAGGGGCTCCGGGCTGGGGCAGGGGGTTGGGGTGTGGGTGGGTGTGTATGTGAGGTCTCCAGCTGGGGGTGTGGGCTCTGGGGTGGAGATAAGGGGTTGGACGTGCACGAGGGTGCTCCACGCTGGGACTGAAGGGTTCGGAGGGGGAGGGATCAGGACTGGGGCACGGAAACGGCTCAGGGGTGCAGGCTCTGGGCGGCACTTACCTTAAGCAGCTCCCAGAAGCTGCGGCATGTCCCCCCTTCATCTCCTACATGGAGGTGCAGCCAGACGGCTCTAAGCGCTGCCCTGTCCACAGGCACCACCCTTGCAGCTCCCATTGGCTGTGGTTCTAAGCCAATAGGAGCTGCGTGGGTGGCACCTGAGGCTGGGGTAGCGTGCAGAGACCCCTGGCTGCCCCTAAGCATAGGAGCTGGAGAGGGGATATAGGAGCTGGAGGGGAGCCACACAGAGACATGGTATGAGTGGAGCGGGACAAGCCCCCAACCTTGCTCCCCGGCTGAAGCATCGGAGCGGGTCAAGCCCCGGACTCTGCTTCCTGGCGGGAGCTTGAGGGCCAGATTAAAATGTCTGAAGGGCCAGATATGGGCGATGGGCCGTAGTTTGCCCACCCCTTGTCCAGCAGCAGAAACCAGAGCCAAAACTAACAGATTTTTTTGCTCATTTACAGAGCTGACAGTGGAGCTGAGAGACCGGGCTCTCAGCTCCCCGCCCTGCCCCTCTTACGTCAGTGGAAGTGCTCTTGGTGAGGACACACACAACCAACCCAAGGAGGGTAGTGTAGACATGCAACACTGCAGTAATTACTGTGGTGGCTATAAGTCAATCTAATGTAAGTTGACTAAGCCCTGGTCTACACTGGGGGTGGGGGGATTGATCTAAGTTACGCAACTTCAGCTACATGAATAACGTAGCTGAAGTCAACGTACTTAGATTGACTTACTATGTTGTCTTCACCGTGGTGAGTTAACTGCTGCCGCTCCCCTGTTGACTCTGCCTGCGCCTCTTGTGGCGCTGGAGTACAGGGGTCGATGGGAGAGCACTCAG